AATTGTATTGAATCTAATCCGTATCATCCTTGAAATCATTTCTTAAAACCAGTTTTTATCAACTGGCCTTCCTTTAACTGGTTTTAGCTTGATTTTATTCCTTTTGTTTTATTTATTTATTTATTATAATGCAAACAATTCTATTAATTAATTGATTTGTTTGCATCATTGTCTGTTTTTGTATGTTTTCTGTGTGCTGTTTTTATGCTTTTTGTATTGTTCTTTGCTGCTTGTACAGCATTTTGTAAACCTTTTTTTAAATGTGCCTTATAAATAAAGATTTATTCTTATTATCATTACATGCATAAAGCCAAAAAGTGGTCTTGAAGTATTTAAAAGTTCATATTTTTGTCAATACTGCGTCTATTAATGTAAAATTTAAAGAAAGACTAAAAAGAAAACTTACTTCTGTTAGAAATAGCAGCAGGGAGCCTCTATAGAGCTATTTAATTTCTGTATCTATTAAAAAGTGACCCTAGGCTTCACCTTTTTCTGCCCGTGCCAAGTGTGGAGGGACACGAGAAAATCATACTCAACATGAAGTTGAATCAAAACTCAAGAACTGGAAGATTCGATCTTGTTTTTCCTGTCCCTAGTCAAATACAGACGACAAATTTCCCTATGGATACAATAAAGTGTACCTTATCTTAACTTTAACCTCCCTTTGCTCTCCGCGCTGAGTCACTCCCCCTTCAGAGAGCTATCATAACACAATCAGCGTGCATCAAACTAATGAAACTACCGCACATCGCATCAGGTTTGACAAGTCGTGTGTCACTCAAAGACGCATGGATCTAAAAGATATTCAGGTCTTCGGGTATGTTTTTGATGAGGGATGCTAGAAAGCTCCAAAAAGTGGATGTTGCATAAGATCCCCTCTTTAAAGTTGGAAAAGAAATCAAAAGGTCTCATTGTATTTGAACTCAAACGTTTCCTGATGTGAGATATGGCACCAAAACACATTTCATAGCAGGTAACTTTGAATAGCCCTGCTCTTATAGTCTGTGATTGCTAAGCTAAAGAATAAAAATACAGTCTACAATGGGCCAACTATGGTGTGCAGAGCTTAGAATGGTCTGACTACAGGTGTTTTCAGGACTTTTTGCAATGTATATATGTAAAACCGACTTCACCTAAGCATTCAAATACATAGTAAATAAGGTAATGTGTACTTTATGGTTCCATCTGACCAATCCTTCAATCTCTCTGGGTTAAACCTGTCAGGAGCAGAGGGACCCATCTCCAGATCTCGAGCTAGTCTTGGTCAGGACTACCTTAGCTGGAGGATTTGATCTATTACTAGTACTTCACCTGTATGAGTCACTACAGTCTGAGTATGTGTGGGTGATTATGAAAGAGGGAGGAGGACTGGCTTAATGAAAAAAGCGTGCTTAATCACTTTGCATCTAGTTCACCATGGAAACCTCGACTGGCTCACGATAATACCATTTTAAAATGTAAAAGTTTAACTAAAATGAAAATGGAAATACTGGAAACAAACTAAGAAGTATTGTATTTTGTATTTTTTCACTTGTTTTGATTGCACTGAGAAACTGTCAGCTGATGTAAGGGAGCCCATGGCAGTCAATCCCCCTAAAAGCACAACACTTTGACATCATTTAGTCCAAGGGTCACCAACACGATGTCCGCGGGCACCAGGTCGCCCCCAAGGACTATGAATTGCTGCAGGCCGGTTCTAAAAGTAGTACAGCTCATTAGTTAGCTCCATCAAAATTTTATTTGATTCTGTTGCTATTTTAATCACCCTTGATTTTATTCCATTCCATTCCATTTTCTTCCACTTATCTGGTGTCAGGTTGCGGGGGCAGCGGTCTGAGAAGGGCCTCCCAGACTTCCCTCTCCACACACACTTCCTCCAGCTCTTCCAGGGGGATCCCAAGACATTCCCAGGCCAGACCAGAGACATAGTCCCTACAGTGTCCTAGGTCTGCCTCGGGGCCTCCTCCCGGTGGGACATGCCCGGAACACCTCCTGAGGGAGGCGTCCAGGAGCCATCAAGAACAGATGCCCGAGCCACCTCAGCTGGCTCCTCTCGACGTGGAGGAGCAGCAGGTCTACTCTGAGATCCTCCCGTGTGACTGAGCTCCTCACTCTATCTCTAAGGGAGCACCCAGCCACCCTGCGAAGGAAACTCATTTCGACCGCTTGTATCTGCGATCTCATCCTTTCGGTCATTACCCAAAGCTCATGACCATGATTTAAAAATGACAATATCTTAAAAATATGTTCATTATACATGAAGTTTAGATGAGCGATTTAGATGTTGCAAGCTGTTCCATGCCGTTTTAAGTTTTCTTTCTGTAACACGTGATGTGTCTCTACAGTGGTTATGGTTCATATGTCGTAAAGTTGAGTTTATTTATGCAGAAGATTTTAATGAAGAATCTGCTGCAGTGTAGAACTTGAACAATAGTGTTTGGAATCGTTGGGTTTGATCTGTGCAGTGGATTGTGGGATACCTCATAGCTCTTTACCGATGGTTAAACCTCCTGAGCTTCCTCTGCTAAAGGAGCTCATGGTTGTTTGTATTTTTCCTGGTTTATTAAAGATATCATTTTTGCACTTGCGCATTTGTAAGATAGTGTCAAGAAACCGGGATAGTGCATTTATAAGCGGGTTACTGATGTGCACGTAAACGCACTCACAAACGCAATGATGATAATTGTAACACTGTATTTAAAAATTTAACAGTTACTGAGATAAATAAAGTGAAAGTGCTGAATATTGATCTCTGTTTCCCACCTTGCTGTTATTGTTGATAATTATAGAGAGAAATCATTAATGTGATCAGTGTCACCACATCGATGATTACCAAAAAATGTATAACTAAAAGCAAACTGAGCACATTTGTTATTTGAGATGCCCAAACTGTAGCTTTTCATATGACTCACTACCCATGAAGTAGCTCTCAGTTTCAAAAAGGTTGGTGACACATGTTTGAGTCACCTTTTATTATTAGTCTGTCTACATCTCCAAAACTTGAAATGCTCTGTTCCACCTTGTGATATCATGAAGCAGTAGTTTTCAAATGAACAGCTCCTTTTACCTTTAACTCAGTAGAGATTAGAGATCGGAAATTCCAGGGCAGAAATCATCCAAATAATTCTAGTGCCCCTGTGGGTCGTTAGGTACCGGGTGACGAAAGCGCGAACCCCCCCCATCCCATAAGCAGCGTGGACCTTGTCTTCTCACGTACGCCGAGTGGACCGTGCCTCCTCCTGTACGCCTCTAAACCAGAACTAAAATCAAGACTAAACCAGGACTAATATCCTCCTGTGTGGTGCATCTTCATCACCTCCGGCATCCCCGGTCTATGAAAATACTGTCCCTAAGAGTTCTGTCTCCCCCACCCCTCCCCCTATTGTTGGACATAAAACCGGTCCTTGGTGCAAAAAAGGATGGGGCCCTCTGCTCTAATGCACTGTTTCCCAAAGATTGGGTCACAAGATTTTATTTTTTTTTTTGGGTCACCTTGTCACGATCTGCACACATATACATACATCTCTGTGCACGCCCCGCTCCTCACTTTCCTTTTACCTTTAACTCAGTAGAGATCAGAAATTTCAGGGCTGAAATCATCCAAATAAATTATTCTAGTGCTTCCTGTGGGTCGTTAGGTACCGGGCGACGAAAGCGTGAACCCCCCCACCCCATACGGAGCGTGGACCGTGCCTCCTCCTGTACACCTTTAAACCAGAACTAAAATCAGGACTAAACCAGAACTAAAATTAGGACTAAACCAGAACTAAAATCAGGACTAAACCAGAACTAAAATCAGGACTAAACCAGGACTAATATCCTCCTGTATGGTGCATCTTCATCACCTCCAACATCGCCAGTCTATGAAAATATTGTCCCTAAGAGTTCCACCGACCCCATCCTTCCCTCCACCCCAGTCTGCAAAATATTACTGGACATAAAACCAGTTTGTGCTTAAAAAAAGATGGGGCCCACCTCTCTAGTGCACTGTTTCCCAAAGACTGGGTCACAAGACTTTTTTTTTTTTTTTTTTGGGTTGCGTTGTCACGATCTGCATACATATACATACATCTCTGTGCACGCCCCGCTCCTCACTTTTTCGACACTACCGTCTTGCCTAAGCAGTTTTCTGTGGGAAACACTGATCACTGTTTTTCATTGTTTAAAACTTGAGTAAGACTAATTGTTCAGAGAGACACGATCACTCAGTCAACAATAAAATATCCTCATTAATGTTCAGTAATGGCCACAAATTTCTTTTGTGATTTACGAATAATGACATGGGTTGTGAAGATTTGTGACTTTTAAAATATGGGTCTGCAGATAAAAAGATAAACACTGCTCTAGTGGATTGAGTGTGGAGTTCAAAAACACAGTGGAGCACTTCCTGTACCACATGATATCACAAGGTGGAACAAGGTGGAGTGTTTAAGAGAAGAATGTGTGTGAATGAAAAAAAAAAACACAACTCCAGGTCTGTTTTTGATGAGGATTGATCAAAAAATAGTGTAATACTGGTCTTTTAAAGCGCATTAATAGATTTAGTTATTATAAACTCTTACCAAATTGCCTCAAAATCTTGTCCTGTATCAGATCTCTTTTGTATTTTCTGTTTTCCACTTATATATTCACATCAGATTTCGAAAGCAATGTTTTAATATACAGAACTGCGCAATATCTTAACAGCCCCTTTCACGCGGATCAGAAAAAGGTTTAACCCAGACCGCCACTGTAAATCTCCCCATCCTGGATCTCCCTTGTCTCTTTTGTGCATTCATTTATATATTTATTTACACTCGTCTTCAAATCGGCCACTTTCTGCTCGCCCACCTATTGTGCGAAGCGTGCCCTGCCCATTACCTCTGCCTTCTATTGTAGCTGCCCGCGAGAGATAACAAATGAATGAAGTCCGCATCCCCGAGATCAATAAGAGCAATACTGTCTGCTGTCGATTGCTGCCATGGCAACCGGGAGATTCTTCTTTTTTTTTTTACACTCACCAAACTGAAAATGTCTGCGGAGCTCCTCCATCAAAGCCAGCCTCCCAGGAAACGTTGGCTTCCTTGTGTCCGGGGGAAACGGAGAGGCCAGTGGCGGCGTGGGGACTGGTCCCTATAAGGCACAATATAGAAAGAGTACTTATGAAACTGGCAGGTACTAAACGTTCAAGGGTTTACAGTGGTCCCTCGTTTATCGCGGTGGTTACGTTCCAAAAATAACCCGCGATAGGTGAAATCCGTGAAGTAGTCAACTTTATATTTTACAATTATTATATCTGTTTTAAGGCTGTAAAACCGCTCACCACACACTTTATACACTTTTCTCACACAGGACACTTACAACCCTTTTTGCTTCCTTCTTAAAACTTATTGCTGCTGTCGTCCTTTTGTTAATTTCCTCCTTCTTTATGTAACGAACTGAAGATTAATTTATTCCGTAATGGAGCCTACAGCGCAGAGTCCTGCACGGGTCCATTTTAGAGATCCGCACCAGCACATTCCAGCACTGCACCCGTCCGTTAACCCGAGATTATATCAAACTTTTGCGCTGCATACGTCATGGACTGAACCAAAACTAAACCAGGACTAACCCAGGACTAACCTAGGACTGATTACAGGATTGAACCAGGAGAACTAAACCAGGACTGAACTAGGAGTAAAACAGGACTAAAACAGCACTAAACCAGGACTAAACCAGAACTGAACCAGGACTCATTGTCGGGACAGGCTCGGAGGTGACTGCAGGAGAAAGAAACGACGGAGAGTCACGGAGATAAGAGCGGCAATTGCCCGATCGCGCAGCACTTCAGAATTGCACTGCTAGCGATCGAACATTTATGTAAATTTGACATCTGAACACATTCTGTACTGTACAGGAGACGGGATTGATTGACAATGGTCTGCAGTCCCTTAGCCAATCAGGACGCAGGGGGAGGAACACAATACGCGCTCATACGCTGTAAAAAAACGGCATGCAAAATTGCACTAAAAACGAGAAACAGTAAGACCGCTAAAGGTGAACCACGATATACCGAGAGACGACTGTACTCAAAAGTATTGCATTAGTCTCATGGAGGATATACAGCAGCAGTATGTAATGCAATGTAATGTAATAAACAAAAGTGTAATAAAAATGTCACTGTGTCATGTAGTAAAATACTCAAAATTATTACAAAATGCAGGTGTTTCCATGGAAACGTAGTAATATATAATAACAGCGATATAGGTTTGTACTTTATTAAACATCCTATATCACATAAAATGGACTCTTGTGAGTTTTAAGCCATGCTGTAATGCTTTCACCTCTTCAAAAACAAACATGGAGTTGTGTTTTGTTTCATTGACCCATGAGTAATCCTTTATTGTTAACGTATTTTTCTGACTATAAGGCTCACCGGATTATAAGGCACAAGGGTTAGTTTAATTCTCTCATCTATTTTCATACATAAAGTGCACCAAATTACAAGGCGCATTAAGCGAAACAAACGGACGACACTTGAGACTGATCCTTAGTCCAAGTGTCCACGATCCATCGGCAGATCGTGGAGTAATTCGCCCGGCGTTGCCTCCCTGTCTTGGTGAATGTGTGTTATGAATGTGAATGTGAATGTGAGTGGATCATTTAAGTTTGTTTATTTTATTTCCTCCAAGAACTCAAATATACATTGAGTAATAATATGTTTAATGCAGCTTTGCACATATTTGTTTACATTTTTACAGAAACAAAACTTAAAACCACATGGACTCATTTGCATGAACTATAAGCACTGAAAAAAACAGCTCGCTCTTTGTGCGCTGATGCGGTTCAGTTTCTGTCGGACTAAAGGACACAACTCAGTGGAATATGAGTGTTCTTTCTGTGACAGAGGGGTTTTCTGCTGATTATGAGTCTGTTCTGTGCTTCTGTTGCATTGGAGATGGTTCATTTTAAAGAGTTTCAGAGGTTATACGTCTGCAGGTCATATGCATAGACCCTATATATGAATGGACATATATTCTCTGTAGCATTTCATTGATGTCATAAATGGCGACGCAGAACTATACTTTGTCCTTTACTCTGCGAGGCTCCTGACTTAGGTAGCCATAATGCTCCGGCAATCCATCAAGCGGTGCGGCTTCGTAGCTTACCAAAGTCGTACTAAAACATTTTGACAGATTTTTGAGCGTTATGTACCACATAAAATCGGTTCGAGGTCAGTGAACACAACCAGAATTAATACATAAGGCGCACCGGATTATAAAACGCACTGTCAATTTTTATGATTTTTGATTTCAATTTTAAGTGCGCCTTATAGTCCGAAAAATACGGTAGTCTGTCTGGTCTCCAAAGCTCAAAATGTTCGACCTTGTGATGTCACGAAGCATGAAGTTAACAGCTAACTTTTACCTTTTGTTCAGAAGAGATTGTCAATTCTAAGTCTGAAATGGTTCAAATATTTCTAGTGAAGGTGTATGGAGATGTGTGAATGAAACAAAACTCAACTCCAGGTTTGTATTTGAGGAGGTAACATGGTTCAAACGTAATATAGGACCATACACTTGGACGAGAAATAGTCTGGCTGTTAAAAGGCGAACATTGAGGCACGAGCTGGTGTAAGAGAGCAGCAGAGGAGCGCACACTTACTGAGCACATAGACCTGAGTGGAGGTGGTGACAGAGGCTACGCGGTTAGCAGCGCTGCACTCCCATAAACCCTGGTGCTCTTTGGTCAGGGGCTGCAGCAGTAAGGAGCCATTAGAGGTGGTGGAGAAGGTCACAGGGCGAGAGGCAACCTGCAAGAGGAGGTCAAGACATACATTCACTCTAGGTGCATGAAATTTGGTTTGCAGAATATCTAAAACTCATGGAACTGAAAGTAGTTTTGACGTTCAGAATAAATGTGGTTTGTGTATAAATATTCAAGTACCTGAGGCTGAAAATGACTGCAAACTATTTGGAAACATATTTTTAAAAACGGTTTAATTTGATGAGAGAAATTGTCAGTCACGGAATACTTTCACTGAAAAATACCGCACTAAAGGACAAACATGATGCATTATTTATATTGTCCTTGGTCTTTAAACGTGCTCCTGAGTATTTGTTTGGAATCTCATGTTTTAGAACTTAAAATAATGGTTATGTTCAGACAATAGCACCTGTGTGAATGCACGAGGTTCATGCAGGTGCGCTCCCTAAACTGGACACCGGTGTTTGCACCCCACCTACTGGCAGAAAAGGGAATTACTTGATTGATGTGGCCATATTGGTTTGTTGATTTCAGATCCTGGTTCGTACTTGGATGGGAGACCACTGGGAAAATCCGGTGCCACAGGGGAGCGCCAGTCGCAAAAAGTGTTGTGTCCAAAAGACTTCACCCACAGCCTTGTTTGAAAATGGTGTGTGCGTGAGCAGTGTTGGGAAGGTGACTTTTAAAATGTATTCCCCTACAGATTACAGATTACATACCCCAAAATGTAGCTTGTAACAGAATCCATTAAATTACTTAAAGTGAGTAACGTAATCTGAATACTTTGGATTACTTGGTTTGCTGTAGAGAAGCAAAGACGAGGAAATTTTCACATAAGATGTTTTGTTTTGTCTGATAAAAGAAAATAAAAAAGCCCAGACTTTACTCAACCAAATTAAAAATATTATTGATAGAAGACGAGGAGACATGGTCCACGCAGCATGATTTAGTCCTGTTAAATCCTGTTTTAGACCTGGTTTTAATCCTGGTTTAGACCTGGTTTAGATCTAGTTTAGATCTGGGTTTAGTCCTGGTTTAGCCCAAAATGTGAAAACAGGAAAATACCGCCGTGTAATCCATTTATTTCAACAAAGTAACTGTAATCCAATTACCACTCACTGAAACTGTAACTGTAACCAAATACAGACCAGGACTAAACCAGGACTAAACCAGGACTAAGCCAGAACTAGACCGGGACTAAGCCAGGACTAGACTGAGACTAAACCAAGACTAGACCGGGACTAGACCAGTTCTGGACCAGGACTGGACCAGTTCTGGACCAGGACTGGACCAGTGTCGTTAGTGGATTATATATATATATATATATATATATATATATATATATAATATAATATATATATATATATATATATATATATATATATATATATGCTGCAGTCGTTGAGTCGATCTCCTCCGCTAATGGTTTTATGTAATAAATACACTAAAGTCTCTCTCAGCCTGGTCTGACATAGTTTCGGGAAAAGACCGGGACCGGGTACTTGTTTCCAGGGCAACGGACGTCGGGGGCATCTAAACTCAAAATCAGAAGCGTCCAAATAAAGGCGTCTAGGCAGTTTTTTGACCCTCTGGTCTGAACGAGCCTTTAGTGACTGTGGCTGTAATGATGAGGCTACAGGTGTCGGCTCACTGCTGCTGAGGCTCAACCACAGGTGCTTCTTAGTAAGACCAGCTGTTTTGATTTACTTGGTGATGATATCTTATCTCTGGATGTGTCATGATTTGCTTCAGTGAATGTTTTTTGAACGCTCAGCGGGAGCAGACGGGATTCATCAAAAAAGCATAATGAAGCAATTACAACTCCAAGGACGCAAAAAGTAAATATTGCATCACATGTGGCCAAATTAAATGATGATAAATAGTCTTACACAAACAACACTAAACAAACTCCTGTCCATCCTCGATAACCCCCAGCACCCTGCACAGCGTTAGCCACTTAACACGCCATAGATCTGTCCAGCTCCCCCTACAGCTGATGTTTACAAGAGGATGGACTGTTGTATGATTATGTCTGTTTCACTGTCGCTGCTACAGAAATTTGAACTTCCTTTGGGAACAAGTATATCTCTCTCTCTCTCTCTCTATCTATCTATCTATCTCTCTATCTCGTCTCTCTATCTATCTATCTGTCTGTCTGTCTGTCTGTCTGTCTCTCTCTCTCTCTCTCTATCTCGTCTCTCTATCTCTATCTATCTATCTATCTATCTATCAATCAGTCTGTCCCTCTCTATCTATCTATCTCTCTCTGTCTGTCTGCATCTTTCTCTCTATCTGTGTGTCTGTCTCTCTCTCCCTCCCTCTATCTATCTCCCTCCCTCCGTCCGTCCATCCCTTTCTCTCTCTCTTTCTCTCTCCCTCTCTATCTGTCTGTCTATCTATCTATCTGCAATCTCCCTCTCTATCAATCTGTCTGTCTCTCTCTCTAACTCTCTCACTCTATCTGTCTATCATCTCTCTCTATCTATCTACCTCTCTATCTTTCTCTCTCTCTCTGTATCTCTCTATCTCTTTCTTTCTCTATCCATCTATTTATCTATCTGCTATCTCTCTATCTCTCTCTTTCTCTCTCTATCACTCTCTCTTCGTATCTCTCCCTCTCTCTTTGTATATCTCGTTCTCTATCTATCTCTCTGCTATCTGTCTGTCTCTCTATCTTTCTCTCTATCTCTCTCTCTCTTCGTATCTCTCTCTCTCTATCTCTCACTATCTATCTTTCTCTCTATCTCTCTCTCTTCTTACATCTCTCTCTCTCTCTCTATCTATCTATCTCTCTGTCTGTCTCTGTCTTAGTGCTGTGTTTGACTGAACTGCAGTAACAGTATATGTGTATGTGTTTTTAAATGTGTTTTTAAAGTCAGTATAATCAGACAGACCCTGTTAAATGTGACCTCGGTGTACAGGTTTCACACGTTTACCTTTCTCCACGTGACTCTGACGGTGGGGTCCCGGTTGGGCTGACAGGGCACCAGCAGACTCCTCCCCACCTCCTCGATGTACTGCGCCGCTGGGACCACGCTGAACGACGGGGGGTCCTGGGAATACGACACAGAATTAGCATCAAGGCGAGTTCGTGTCAGCGCAGCACGCGAGCTCTCAACATCACAGAAAAAACCCCAAAGAAGTTCAAATCACATGAATTCAAACTGAGGGCAGAGATTTAAACGGATGTAATATTCCAGTCGCTTTATCAGAGAGGCTAAAAACCGACTTTTCTACACTAAATTCTACTTAATATCTACATCTAAAGAGACACTGAATACAAAATCAAGTGTTTGAATAGCACAGTCTTCAGCTGCTGGTCCAATTTTAGTGAATAACTCTGTAAATTTGCAGATTTGTGTTCAAAATTCTTCTTCATCTAGATGTCATTGTTTTTTTTCCCCTTTATAAATTGCCTATTTGTTATATGTATATTTATATTTATCTTTGTTAATATTTGACAATTTCATTTACACATATTTCTGTAATGTAAGTCATATAGAATGTGAATTTAAATTTTGTCTATTTAATGTATGTGTATATATATATATGTATATGTATGTATGTGGTGTGTGTGTGTGTGTGTGTGTGTATATATATATATATATATATATATATATTATATATATATATATATATATATATATATATATATATATATATATATAATATATATATATATATATATATATATATACATATATAATTTTATAATTTATTTTTCTTTTTGTTGTTGTTGTTTGGGAGTGTTCTAAACTGAAAATGTGAATTAAGTTGTAAAGAAATTGCCTATTCATTCATTTGTGCATTATAATTTTTCTAACTTAATAAAAAATAAAAGTTGTCATTGTAAAGGTGAGTTACTCCAGTATTTCTTTCAGTATACTAATACTTTTTTATACTACTTTTTTTGTGTGCAAACTCACATCTTTTAAATTCCTTTTGTTGAACTTGATACCTGTGCCTTTTATGTTCTCCTAGCACTATATTTAGTACACTTCAAAAAAAAAAAAAAAAAAAGTGAAAATTGAAGGTGCACTATGTTAGGTTTTGGTTGGGGGATCCATCACCTGCTTGTTTCTGTGGAATGTTCCACAGCAGGGCTTTTCAAATTGGGTGAATTTGAGCCTCCCCTTGGAGTCGGTAAAGACAGCCGAGTTTAGTCCTGGTTTAGTCCTAGTTTAGTCATGGTTTTACTTCTAGTTTAGTCCTGGTTTTAGTCCTGGTTTAGTCCTGGTTTTAGTCCTGGTTTAGACCTGGTTTTAGTTCTAGTTTAGTCCTGGCTTTACTCCTGATTGTAGTCCTGTTTTAGTTTTGGTTTAGTTCTGGTTTAGTTCTGGTTTAGTTCTGGTTATAGTCCTGATTTTAGTCCTGGTTTTAGTTCTAGTTTAGTCCTGGTTTTAGTGCTGATTGTAGTCCTGGTTTAGTCCTGGTTTAGTTCGGGTTTAGTTCGGGTTTAGTTCTGGTTTAGACCTGGTTTAGTCCTGGTTTTAGCTCTAGTTTAGTCCTGGTTTTAGTCCTGATTGTAGTCCTGGTTTAGTCCTGGTTAATTCTGGTTTAGTCCTGGTTTAGTCCTGGTTTAGACCTAGTTTCGACCTGGTTTAGACCTGGTTTAGACCTGGTTTAGACCTGGTTTTAGTGCTGATTTTAGTCCTGGATTAGTCCTCATTTAGACCTGGTTTTAGACCTGGTTTTAGTCCTGATTATTGTCCTGGTTTAGTCCTGGTTTAGTTCTGGTTTAGTTCTGGTTTAGTCCTGGTTTTACACCTGATTGTAGTCCTGGTTTAGTTCAGATTTAGTCCTTGTTTACACTTGGTTTAGACCTGGTTTAGACCTGGTTAAGACCTGGTTTAATCCTGGGTTTAGACCTGGTTTAGACCTGGTTTAGTCCTGATTTTAGTCCACTCGGTGTATACAAGGTAAAAAAGGTGACGCTCCAAACTCTGAGTAGGTTGTCAGAATGGTGACAAGTTAAAAAATCTACCTTTAAATATGAAAAAAAAAAAATGTATCTTGCAACTAGTCAGAAAAAAATTATCCATGTCCAAAAAATAAATAAAAAAATCCATAACTAAAATGACTCAAATGAAAAATCCATTCTTAATTCAAGCCGTTTTAACTTGGTGGAGTCCTTTTTTGCAGCGAGCGGGTGTAAATGAGCCGGATTAATGGAGCATTGGACAAGATTATCTTAATAACAGAGGGATTAGCCGCACAATTAGCTCCTCATTTGCGCTGTCAGTGAGGAGAGGGGCGTCCTGATTATGGCTGAGGCCTGGAGTCCGCAGGAAAAGGTCAATAAAATGTCCTTTGTGTCAAGGTTTTTAATTGGCTGTGACAGATGTGGGCGTGTCTCATTAAAACGCGCAGAGAGACGGACGGCTGGGGACACTGGAAAAGACAGGAGGTAACTTTAGAAAGGTACAGTTTAGAGCGCACTCAACTTAAAGCACGCACACTAGAACACAAGCACAACAGTGATAGACAAACTCCCGCTTATTCTATGAACCCTATAAAACCTGACACAATAATTGACTCAGTATTGGACCTTTGAACAAATGTAAAAAAAAAAAATAATGATAACTTTGACCATTTTAGAAATAACAAATGTATCATATTTGATACGTTAGGCCTTTATGGCAATTTTATAGAACCCAATCATGTTTATTTTAGGACCAAACAAAATTCTCTGATGGATTTAGAACTCAGAAAAACCTTTCTGAACATTTCCTTTTATGTTTTTAAATGTCTGAACAGGATTATTTTTAATTCGCCATGTGGAGGAGAACAGTTTGGGTCCTTGTTGAAGCACAGATGTACACTAACATTTCCCAACGTACACGTGTGTGAAATTATTATAGAATATATGTGGAAAAAAATAAATGAGTAAATCTTCTATATCCTCTGAACCAGTCAAATATAGATTATTAGTTATTTTGTGTGTGAAAATTGAAGAGGCAGGACAGTTACTACCAACCAGACCATTGCACCTTTCATTTATATACAAGTCCTGTATTATGTCATTATTAAGCTACAATAATAATAACAATTGAAAATATATATTTTAAGGTGACATCTTAGTTATGAAATACTAAAAATTGTGTGGTGTTAAATTTCTATGGAATTGCATGAATAATGAAGATTGCATCATAAAATACATCATAGTGATGGATGAGGTTCATAATCACAAAGACCTACTGTATCAAATTTGATACATACAATTTTAACATGATTTTTCTACAAAATGAAAATAAAAATATGAAAACCTCATAGATTAACCTAAAAAAGTAAATGTTCATATTGGAGAATCACTAGCATTATTTAGGCAATTCTTTCACTAAACTTTTCAAAATTTACAGTACAAAGTTGTCCATCCAAAAACAGAGAAAGTCACCCCCACCAATGCAGCCATTTTGAAAATGTCTCCTCTGAGCCTGTTATTTAGTGACAACCACGGAAAGTCCACTAGGTCCACTAGGGGGCATCTGACAAGTATTTAATTGTACACAACAGGTTTTTCAGGAAAAATATTGATTATGTGGTTGGGCAGAGGTCTCAGAATGTTGTGTATCAAATATGATACAAATGGCTTTTTGGGTTAAGACATATTTTTGTAAAACTGATTCCACTTACCACCTCAATTAACCTTAATAATGAAAAAATAAAAAATTATAAAAATAATAAAAAAAAAAATAAAATATAATAATAATAATAATAATAATAATAATAATAATAATAATAATAAAGCTGCCATGGACTTGTGCCAATCAAATTATTCACTTAAAGATGCACTATGGAACTTTTTGGTTTTGCATCCGCTACCTGCTTTTCTCCATGGAGATACAATGGCTTTATTTAATGTCAGGTGTTATTGTGCAAAAAAATAAATAAAAAATAAAAAATCTGAACAATTCTAACTGTGAGCGGGCTTGCCACTACATAGATCTGATATGTATCTCAGCCTGTTGGCGTCGACCTGCTTGTCTCCATGGAGATAGATACGTTTAATGCCATGCTGTGGGATTTAAAAGGCAAAGAAATTACATCTCCCTTGAGGCTGGCAGGTGACAAAGCTTAAATAAAATAAAATAAAATTAAAAATATAATAAATACATTTAAAAATAAATAAATAAATTAAATAAATAAAGAGAAAAAAAATAAAAACTAAATAAAAAAATGATAAAATGAAATGAAATAAAATAAAATGATAAAATGAAATAAAATAAAATGATAAAATGATATAAAATGGAAAAAAATGAAATGAAATAAAATAAAATTATATAAAATGAAAAAAAAAAAAATGAAATAAAAAAAATGAAATAAAATAAAATGATATCAAATGAAAGGAAATGAACAAATGCCTACCTGCAGCTTGACAGTGATTGGCCCTGATGCCCCCATAGTTCCGTAGCTGTTGTAGGGTGTGCAAGTGTACACTCCGCCCACATCATCGTTTACTGTGGCCATGGCCAGAGAGCCATCTGCAGCCATCCTCCATCCTGGGAACTGCACACACAAACACAGAACACACACACACAAACACACACATTAGGAAACATATAAGACTTAGAGTACACAGGATACACAGATGGACATGCAGGTTACAGTACACTACACCTAACCAACAGAAAGGTAAAAGGAAAATTACATGATGGAACATAGACGCTTAGATGCTCTTTCTGTTAATTCATGTGTTGGTACATTATGTGGTACAAACAGAATTACAGTTATAGGAGAGTTCAAAAGCCAACACTATTATTCTATTTTCTATGTTCTACAGTATGTTCGATCTATGTTATAATGCTGTTTCGTCATCACAAACAGACCTGGAGTTGTGTTTTGATTCATTTCCATGCCTAACAAACAAACCCCGCATTTTTTTTTTTTTTTTTTTTTTTTTTGAGTTTTGAATTTGAATATTGCACGTAACATAAGAAATATGAATGTTAAAATAAATCAGAAACTTAAAGTAATTATGTATTGAACTAGACATTATTTTCAGCTTGGGCACTTCCCATACTGGAATCTGGTAAAGGGCTCCATCTACTGGCAGTAGAGAGAATTTCCATGGGGAAAACTAAAGTTATCTAGTTTAAAGAGCATGCCCTGACATTTTAATTTAAGCATGTAGTAGTAATGAATGTGTTTTAACTCCAGAAGTGCTTTGAATGAGTCTTCTGATCATTGATAGTCTTAAAAAAACTGTGACATAACAAAATTCAAACATATTTGTAGTATTTTGTGATGGCTCAGGGGGAGTAGACTTATTGCACAAGACTCAGAAAACAAGCATCAATTAAATCCATCTGAAGATTTAAGCTTTTCATAAGGGAACAATGTTATAATATGGTTAAAGTACATTTTGCATACCGTATTCTTCAGAGTATAAATTGCACCCAGTGTTGGGGAGTAACCGATTACATGTACCAGAGTTACGTAATCAGAGTACAAATTATGAGTAACTGTATTCAGTTACAGTTACTCTTTGTGGTGGGGGTCTTCCAAAAAAAACTCAGGCTTAGCCAGGAAATGCTTTTCGATGATTTATTGTGCTCTCCAACAGTGCAAAAGGTGCCAAACGTGAGTGGAAAAATATTTACAGTGGTGGTGTGAAAAACAAACAGTTAGTCAGTGAGTGGTAATTGGATTACAGTTACTTTGTTGAAATAAATGGATTACACAGCGGTATTTTCCTGTTTTCACATTTTGGGCTATATTCCCCCTTTTTTTTTTTTGTGGTAATTCCACTCATTGCTGGAAACTAAACTAGATCGAAATCAGGTCTAAACCAGGTCTAAGCCAGGACTAAACCAGGACTAAAACCAGGACAAACAACAGGTCTAAACTAGATCTAAACTAGAGCTAAACCAGGACTAAAATCATGTCTAAACTAGATCTAAATCAGGTCTAAACCAGGACTAAACCAGCAATAAAACCTGGTATAAATCAGATCTAAAATAGGTCTAAAACCAGGTCTAAATCAGGACTAAACCATCCTAGTCTTTGCTGCTCTACAGCAAATCAAGTAATCCTAAAGTATTCAGATTACGTTACTCACTTTAAATAACTTCATGGATTACATTACAAACTACATTTTGGGGTATGTAATCTGTAATCTGTAGGGGAATACATTTTAAAAGTCACCTTCCCAACACTGGTCGCACCAGCCAAAAAATGCATAATGAAGAAGAAAAAACATATATAAGTCGCACTGTCTGGGGGAAATTAATTTATAAAATCAGAGACCAAGAACCAACATTTCATCTTGAAAGTCAAGTTCTAGTCATAACAATAGAAGAGAGAACAACAGACTGTTAATGTCACATATGAACAGTTCTTCAGATAAACTATAACATAAACAACAGAACAGAACAAGTTGAACAAACTCTCCATCTCACTCCAAATCACTAAATCCATTCAATTCTTCATCCTCGGTGTCACTTCTGAACAACTCCACGACCTCTGGAGATAAACAGAGCTCCGCTTCCTCTTCTGCGTAGCTGTTATAAGACTCATCATCAGTTCCAGTTAGAATTATTCTGGCCTTTCTGAAACCGAACAGGATGGTTTGTCACTGAAATCCAGGTTTTGTCGATGCATCCAGTGACTTCCACGAAAGTTACATAGTGCACCCTCCCGGATTTCCCGTGAAGCTGTGTTCTCCATCCCCGCTTTCCGACAGTCCCTCACAAGTTTCTCGCTCACTCCAAACTTTCTTTCTGCTGTTCGATTACTGTTTTCGGCTGAATATTTCACTACTTGCAGCAGGACAGCGGCTTTTTCTGCAGGAGTAACAGTAGTAGTAGATACTGACACACAAGCCTAGAGCCTCTCGTGGCTTCAGTGTAAAAATTTTAATATACAAGTCGCACCGGAGTATAAGTCGCAGGAAACACCCAAACCATGAAAGAAAGTGCGATCTATTTTCCGAAAAATAGAGTAATATGTGTCCTTACAGACCTTTTACTTTTATGGGGCATTAACTTCTTACACATCAAATATTTAGATCACAATGTTACCCTTTATTATGATATATTTGCTGAAAATAAAATATTAACATGTTTTAATTTTCATTTTTTTCTCCCTTTGCTCCTTGTGCTAAGTCACTCCCCCTTCAGAGCGCTATCACATCACAATCCGCGTGCATCTCGGTCAGTTGCTCTGTACAGTTTTGTATCATGTTTTTGGAGAATTGTCGTGTGGGAGAGTGGGTGACTCTTACAGCTAACCATAAGGAGGGTTTGAAAAGGGCTCGAGAGAGATCGCTAAATTACTCAAACATGCACGGAGGACATATTAAACCTCTTCAGACATGTTTTTTGATGAGGGAACAACGTTATAACATGGTAGAAAGCTCCAGAAAGTCGACCTATGCCCTTTAAAGTCGCCTACAGTTTTATACGATACAGTTTCTCAGCAGACGTCTCTATAAGCAAACCTACACTTTATTACAGAATGTATTTTTGTATCCCTTGACATGAGCACATAGCTTCTTCTATAAGCACCTCCAAGCTTCTCTCCAGCTGTGAGGGACTGACAGAAAATCATGGGAAATATCTCAGAAAGTGTTTCAGTTCAGTCTTCTTCTATCATAACATCACTGAACCTGTCTATGTATTTTAACCATCATTGTCTGTTTTTTGTTTTTTTCTTCTTCTTCTCAAAAATATCAGGTTTTTGAGCATCTCCTCTGCTCCCCTCGGCACATCTCAGGTTTGGATAAATATCCCACTGGAACACTTTGAAGAGCTTTTAGTGGGGCTGTCATTTCAGTATACAGTACAATTATTTTTAGGACACAGGATAGAAAGGAGATTGGATTTTGTTTCATGCAGGGGTGGACAGAGTAGCCAAAAAATGTACTTAATGGTCCAGTACCAGATTTGTTCCCATGTATTTGAGCCAAATTCGTCTTGCCCATTACATTACGGCACAGATGCATTGTACAAGCAGCTCCTGACGTCAAAATTAGTCTGAAAATAAGTATACTGTCTGCATCTACTTGTAAAGCACTTTGGTAAATGGTAGGGATGTAACAGTAACCAAAATATCGTGATATCGTATCGTCAAAGTTCTCACAATGATATCGTGGACCATCACAATATATCGAAGTGTCTTTGCTTAAATGAAGAGTTATGGTGCAGCAATAGCTAAAAAAAAAGACAGAGGGAACTACATAGACCATGATCCTTTGCTCTATTTCAGTGCAGACTACAAGAAGAAATAACAGTTGTAAGCACTTTTAAGTCTTAGTTCTTTGGATTAAGTCTTGTCAAGGCATTTTAAGTGGAAAAAGTAGCATATTCACAGTTTTGTGAATATGCCTCCACAAAATATTGCAATAAATATCGTACCGTGAGATGTATATTGTGAAAATATCGTACAGAAAGATTTGGGTGTTGTTACATCCTTAATCGTGAGCCTCCCCACCATATCGTGAGCTTTCCCACGATATCGCAATAAATATCGTACCGTGAGGTTCAAACCGTGACAATATCGTATCATGAGACTTGGATGGGTTAAGTGTCTTGCCCAAGAACACAATGACAGAATTCATTAGTGGGAGCTGGAATCACACCACCAACCTGTGGGTCAGTGGATCGGACCAATCAACAATGACGTTTATGTCGAGAGTGGGATTCAAACCGCCAACATTCACATCAGTGGACAAACTCTTTACCAACTGAGCTTCTGTCGCCCCACTGTCGGTTTATTGTCTGACAATCGTGAGGTGTGTGAGGTGTTAGCATGCTAGTTGCTGTTAGTGTTACTGTCAAAGAATAACTACTACTGCCAAGTAAGAGTGATTGTAAAAGTAAGTGTCTGGATGCTAGCCTGAGTCATCCTTGCAGCATTAGGATTCGTTCGCTCGACAGTAGGCGGGTACTTTTTTTATTTAACCAATTGCTGCTATTTGGTCGTGACGTATGCATTGTGCCAAATCCTGTAGGAAGAAGGGCAATAACGTCTTTCCCCTTGATAAAATTCACCAAACATTCTCTTTGTTCCGGCTTTAAATCCTCGATCTCGGGAATCATTGCCAACACAGAATGTCTGTCTTTGTCTACATCCATCTCGACCGCTTTGTTTACTTTTGTGCTGTACCACAAAAGGGACCCAGACAGGACCTTGAGTTTGAACTTCCAGGGTTCTTATAAACCGTCTAGTCAGTGTATTTTGATTCCTGACCCAGTCGCTGGAGAGAAATGAATTTGAGCGGAGGCACTAGGTGGTGCCAGCCTGACTATCTGGAGGCAGCATCTGATTTAGAATTTGAGGAGTGCTTGGAATAATAATAATAATGCATTGGTTTTACATAACACCACTTGATGGTTGTCATGGTGAGCCACTGCTGTAACCACAGCTGCACTGGTGTAGTGTGATGGACTCTCAGATGGCTCCTCCAATCACCACCAACACTCACACATCACATTTACACTGCCAATTAGTGTTGTCATTAGGGATGTAACAATAACTGAAATATCGTTATATCGTATTGTCAGAAG